GGACATCCACATCCCATAGCAATCTGCTATATTTGACTCCCAGCTCCAGATTCTACTGGAGCTTCCTGCAAATTCAGAGGCAACAGGTGAGGGCTTGAGTGGCTGAAGTCTTGCCACCCATGTGGATGACCTGAGTTGCACTGCTGACTCTTACCTTTGGTTTAGCCCAACCCTGGTCATTTTGAGCATTCTGGGCATTTGGAGTATGAGCCAGGGAGCTGGGCGGAAGTAGAACAGCCCGGACATGGACAAGCACCCACATGGACCCTTGTAGCTATAAGGCGAGAATCTAGCCACTAGACCTTTGCACCAAGCCCTGTGCCCCATCTTCTTTCATGAATCTTGATGAAGACATTTTTGTCTTGTGCTTGCCCATCACCCTCTTCCTCTCTACAGGCATGAGTTCAGAGTGCACCAGGAAACCATTGGGAATATGCGAGGGTCATTTCTCCCACAGGGAACCACTCTGCCCTAGGCTGCTTTACCGGAGGCTGCTGAGTAGGGCAGGGCCACGAGAACACTCAAGCCAAACAGGATGCAAACTGCAGTGCACACTGTGATTACAACTCTGCTAAAATTCATCTGCCAATGAACCAGCACTGGAAATGAACAAGCAAGAACAGAAACAAGCCTGTGCTGTGGTGGTAAGAACAGGGATGAGTTTTCTTTTTCTTTTTAAGATTTATTTATTTTTATTGGAGAGTCAGATATACAAAGAGGAAGAGTAGACAGAGAGGAAGATCTTCCATCTGCTGATCCACTCCCTAAATGGTCGTAACAGCTGGAGCTGAGCTGATCCGAAGCCAAGAGAGATGAGTTTTCATTTGTGTTCCTGAATTTTTTAATTGAGATGTCATTATACAGATCTTGTATAGTATCATTACATAGACCTTGAGCGAAAGACCCTATTGTTAAATTTTCTTAGTGTAGAAAATGCTTTTCTCTGAACATTTCTTCTTAGGTAAATCATTTGAGTGATCATATTGATTTGTAGAAAAATTTTAGGCTAAGAATAACCAATTTGATTAATCTCATAAATATTCTAAGGGTTTCCAATCTTCGTCTCACTGTCAACATAAGGACAGCTGCCTTTCATACTAATACGTGAGGAGGCAAAAAAACGTAGAAGTGAGCATGCTCTTTGGAGTCAGACAGACTTGGGTTCTGCTCCTGGGTAAATTATTCATCTGTTAAGTTGCAACTTTCCCCTTGTAAGAGATAATGAGGGCCAAATTTCTGGAATGCTTTCTCCATAACAGGCGTAATGCAGCATTTATTTTGCTCTTCAGGCACGGCTATTAGGTTGAGCTGTGTTGGAACACAATCCTGGCCTTGAGGCAGAGTGAGAATGATTCCAAGATGGACTCCAAGTCTTATCTCCTCAGGAACGTCTGGAATGCCCAACAGGAGGACCCTGTCTCAGCCCACCACACAGGGGACTCACAGGTGCAAACCAAGGAGCTGCAGCCTTCTCCCATCCCCTGTGTCTTGGGGGTCCCTCTAGTGGGGACCAGGATGCGAAGTGTGATGTACGCGCAGAGAAGAAATTTGTGACGCAGGGAACGCAAAGGTGAGATGAACCAATGCACACTTCACTGAATTTTTCTGGGGCAATTTATACCAATTTTTTTGCAAAGCAAGCAGGCTGGCAAAAGTTACTAGTTAACAATAGCATACAAGCTGCTTGTAATAGATCACAAGGGATTAGGGGAACAATCACCAGGCTCTGAGCCACCATAGGAGCAAACATGAGTTACAGGAATCAACAACGGTTTAAAAAAAAAAAAAGATCTAACTAGAAAAGGAATCTAACAGAACTTTGTACTCAGATATGTTCAGGCCACAACAGGAAGAGGAAGATGGTAATGAAGACGTCTCACACCTCCCCAGGCACGCTTTGTCAAAAAGGTGACCCGCAATCTCAGCAGGAACGTTTGAGATTTGGTGGGTTGGCTTTTGTGGGGGACAGGCCTTCAACACCTGTGCCTGAGATGTAGAAAAGGCCAATGCTGTATAGCCTGGGCCGACATTTCTCTCATATGGTCACCCTGCACCGGTGTGAAAGACCTGGAAGAGGCTCCTGGCTTCGGATCAGCTCAGTTTCAGCCATTGCAGCCACTTGGGGAATGAATGAACAGACAGAAATTTTTTCTCTCTGTCTCTCCTCTCAGTAAATCTTTCTCTTTTTTTAAAGACTTATTTATTTTTATTGCAAAGTCAGATACACAGAGAGGAAGGTCTTCCATTCAATGATTCATTCCCCAAGTGACTGCAATGGCTGGTGCTGCAATGGCCGATCTGAAGCTGGGAGCCAGCAACCTCCTCCAGGTCTCCCACGCGGGTTCAGGGTCCCAAGGCTTTGGGCCATCCTTGACTGCTTTGCCAGGCCACAAGCAGGGAGCTGGATGGGAAGCAGGGTTGCCAAGGTTAGAACTGGCACCCATATGGGATTTTGGCTTGTTCAAGGCTAGGACTTTAGTCGCTAGGTCACCACGCTGGGCCCTCTCCTCCATAAATTGTATCTACCTTTCCAACAAAACTAAATACACTTTTTAGAATGAATTTATGTTTAACTGGAACAGCCACTTACCAGACATGGATTGTGAGAACTTCATAGACTCCGTTTTTCAGTTTTACAAGCTGTAAGAAGAGGATAATGAAGCATTGAGCATAGAGTAGCCAGTTGTAGCAAGATGCTTTTTTTTTAGATTTATTTTTTTTAATAATCTTACTTAGTTGATTAAGGTACAAAGGATCAAGAGTTACAGGATGAAAGTGGGTAATACCATTATTTCCACACTAATATTGTCATTTTTTCCCCTGTATCTCAGGTCAAGGGAGAAACAAAGAGAAAAGCCCCAAAGGTGCTTTTTAAATAAAGACTTATGGGGCTGGTATTGCAGTGTAACAAGTGAAGCACCTGCAGTGCTTGATCTATCTGGGTGCCCGTTTGAGTCCCAGGCACTCCATTTCCAATCTAGTTTCTTGCTAGGGAAACAGTGGAAGACGTCCTAAGACCCTGGGACCCTGCATTCACATGGGAGCCCCAGATGAATTTCCTGGCTTTGGCCTAACCAGCCTCAGCTCTTGTGGCCCTTTCAGGAATTAACTAGCAGATGGAAGATTCTCTGCCTCCAACCTAGTACCCCATAACCCTGCCTTTCAAAGAAATAAAATAGAACTTTAAAAATGTGTGTATGTATGTACCTTCTGAAGGCAGCGTGATTGAGGGTGGTGGAGAAGGATTTGGTTTTCTTTCTACAACATGTTCAGGTAATGTATTTCATGCTGTACTCATAATTCTCGCCAAGTTCTTCCTCTGAGCTTCTGGGTTAAGGTAACTAGCACAGGCACCAGCAGTTGAAGAGGCTCAGTCCTGACACATGCACTACAAGATCTAGCTGCCCATTCTCGGGTTCTCCCTGAGGCCTGGGTCTGAGTTCGGTGGTCCGGTCGAGAGTCTTCCAAGAAACCTCACCTGGGTCCATCCTGACTTGGCCGATCAGCTCCCCCAGTTTTCCATGTAAATCACTGGGTGCTAAACCAGCAGGAGCTGGAACTGGGGACAGGCTGAACTGATCTACCCTGAAGCACCCACTAGTTGATGGTGAGGTGAGCCATCCTACTCTGGGGTTGAGGGGTGCCAAGTCCATGAGCCTTGGCACAGTGGTCCAGCAGGGTGCAGGTGTCCCTGCCCGGGTCCTTGGGCCTGCATGCATGATGGGTGCCATGTCTGTGAGCCCCGGGAATAAGGAGTCCAGCAGGGCCCATGTCACCGTGCCCGGGTCCTTCAGCCCCTGCAAAAATGGTCTTCCTCAGTGGTAAAGATAGAGTAGTGGATGGCAGGCCCATATCCACAGAGGATATGGCAGCCCTTTAGAACCTTCATGGTGGAACTAAAAAATGCTTGTTGCTTTTGTGTACCGATGAACATAGACACACCTTTGAAGATGTGAACTTCTGATTCCAAAATGAACTTTGGGAGAGCTCTCATCCTAAGCAAATATCCTATTTTTACCATGGGAAGATCAGACTAACATGAAAATAGTAAGGAAAAACTAAGAATCCATTATTGAGTTTTATATTTGTGTTAGATTACTTTATGACTAACACTTAAAATGAAAACTACAAGATCTCTGTGCCTCTGTGTTGACACCTAATGTATGTGTGTTGTGTCTATGTGATAGTTTTCTAACAATATAGAATACAACTATGTTACTAAAGGCAGGCATCCCCCCAATATGCCACATATATTCTGGCTATTTTTTAAAGTATAAATCAGCATACTCATAGTATACATTTTGTTACTTTCACCATAAATGCCAGACAACTTTTGAGAGCCAAATCAAATGAACTACTTCAACTTTGAGAGCCTCTGGGAAGGGTCCCTAGAAACTGTGATTTTGAAAAACACACCAAAATGTTCTCAAAAATCAGCCAAGATTTGGAACTCCCTCATCCAACGCTCTTTCTCCCCTCCTCCCATCCCCCGCCTTCACCAACAGCCTGTTTCTCAAAGCTAAAAATGATGACTAAATTCAGGCTGTAGTAATTCTTGCAATTTATAAGTCTGGACACCCAAAAGAATCTGAATGTAAAAGCAAACACAGACCCCAAAGGGTTAAAGTAACTGAGAAAGTCCGTGACCCCTGTCTGACTCTAGCTTTGCTCCCTCCACCCTACTTGGCTTTGGTGTCTGCAAAATCATTCTTGAGTACACAGGTGCTTATTACACAGAAAGTAAACTGTACCCCCACTCTCTCCATCTTCTATCCCAATTCCCCTCCCCACAGGGTAATCTCTAAGAGCACCCTATATTATATCTGAAAAAGTTTTATAAGACTTTTTAAAGTGTTTCTTCTGATGAACAACAAAAAATAAGTGAAGTGATCATTTGTACTGATAAACAGGAAACAGCTTTTTTATAAAATTGAGGTCAGAGGGGGAAGACATATAAAGGAGTTCTTAGCTTACTGAGAAAACGAAACTTGGAAAAAGGCGCCAAGATTTTAGTTTCATTTTCAGTCGCGCTAGAACTTTCTGCTTGCTGGGATTGCGTTCCTGCGCAGAGCTCAGAGTGGAGCCGGTTTTCTTCTCCCCAAAGGCGCACACCACTCTCAGCCAGGCTGCCCATTGAATCTCTCTTCTCTTCAGCATCCAGTCCTGTGGAATCACTGAATCCCAAGGTAAGTCTGTTTGTTTGCAGAGAGCCACAGCAGACCTATTAAATTGAAAGGATGATCTCAAATCAAAGCGATTGCAGAACTCTCAAATGCAAATCCACCCAGCTGCTACAGTCTTCCAGAGAGATGCTGTGGGAGCAAGCCGGCCTTCTGGATGAGGCCAGGGGTGCAGAATGCCGGGGTCCTGGCTGAATACTGAGGTGCTTGGGGGACGGGGGCTGGGGAGGGGGGAGACACGCAGGAGTAACCGGATCGCTGAAGAACAACCTTCAGAGGGGACGGGGTGAAGGCTAGAGACTTGGACAGAAAGGAAGTCTGGAAGTTCTCATTGACGCTGCAGCGAGGGAATGAGAAAAGGGGGAGCCGAGCCAGGAAGTGTAGACCCAGCGCGGGAGGGCATTCGCGTCAGGAGGCACCCCGTGTGTTAGCGACAAGTGTGTGTGAGTGCACATGTGTGTGAGATGTGCATGTAGTGTGTGTGGTACCAGCGGCCGGGTATATAAAATGTGTAAGAGACCTGTGTCAGAAGGCTGTATTTGACTTCCTCAAATTAAGAAAATTTTCTGTAGCTACTATTCTTTTTTTTTTTTAATTGGAAAGGCAGATATACAGAGAGGAGAGAGAGAGGAAGATCTTCCATCTGATGATTCACTCCCCAAGTGAGCACAACGGCCGATACCATGCTGATCAGAAGCCAGGAGCCTCTTCCGGGTCCCCCACGCGGGTGCAGGGTCCCAAAGCTTTGGGCCATCCTCGACTGCCTTCCCAGGCCACAAGCAGGGAGCTGGAAGGGAAGCAGAGCTGCCAGGATTAGAACCAGCTACCATATGGGATCCCAGGGCATTCAAGCAGAGGACTTTAGCCGCTAGGCCACGCCACAGGGACCCAAAACATTTTTAAAGATTTATTTATTTTTTTGGAAAGACAGATGTACAGAGAGGAGGAGAAACAGAGAGAAAGATCTTCTATCCATTGATTCACTCCTCAAGTGGCTGCAATGGCCGGTGCTGCGCCAATCTGAAGCCAGGAGCCAGGAACTTCTTTCCGAGTCTCCCATGCAGGGGCAGGGTCCCAAGGCTTTGGGCCGTCCTTGACTGCTTTCCCAGGCCACAAGCAGGAAGCTGGATGGGAAGCATGGTGGCTGGCATTAGAACCCACATCCCTAAGGGATCTTGGTGAGTGCAAGGCAAGGACTTTAGCCACTAGGCTACTGCACAGAAGCCAGTCCTGTGTCTTTTATAGATGTCACCCTTTCCAGGGGTGAGAAGGGCTGGCATTTGGTACAGTGCTTCAGATGCTGCCTGGGGATTTCTTCTCAGAATACCTGGGTTTGAGTCCCAGCTCTGCTTCCCAATCCAGCTTCCTGTTGGTGTGCACTGTGGGAGGCAGCAAGGGATGGCTCCAGCACGCCGCTCCCTGACACCCACATGGAAGATTCAGATGGAATTCTTGATTCCTGGCTTACAGCCAACACAGCCCTGATTGCCCTGGGAACTTGGGGAGAGAGCCAGGAGATGGCAGGTCTTTATGTGTCTCTCTTGCTGTCTCTCCAGTAAAATTAACTAACTCTTAAAAATCCTTTGGCTTTCCACCATTGAAGGCAGTGACCCCTTGCTAGCATCTAGACTTCTCTCGCACCATTTCTCTTCATGCCTCCCGTGCCCCATCAAGCTTAAATTCTGGGCAGATGCAGCAACCCTCTCTTTTGTGACATTATTTCCCTGCTTAACCTGAGCTTCTGCCACACATCATCACTCTGGGTTGAAGTGCTGCTATTCCTTCTCAGAACCTCTGGCTCCTTTCCGTTGTCAGTTTGCACCTTGGCACACATGTTCTTTCCTCCAGAATGCCTACCGAATTCATAGCAGCTTAACTGTTGATATTAGATGCTTCTCTCAGGGCCACACATTATTGCAATTATTTGATGGTTTTTAAAAGATGTATCTCTTTGTTTGAAAAACAGAGTAAAAGAGAGAAAGAAAGGGGGAAAGACAGGACCCCCCCCCAAAAAAACAACAACCAGAAAAAGATCTTCAACCTTCTGCTTACTCCCCAGATGGCCACAAAAGCCCAACTTAGGCAGGGCCAAAATCAGGAGCTAGGAGCTTCTTCTGGGTCTCCCATGTGGGTGCACAGGCTCAAGTGCTGGGGTCACCCTGCACTGCTTTCCCAGGTACATTAAAAGGCAGCTGGATCACAAGTAGAGTGGCCAGAACTAGAACTAGCGCCCAACCATTGTCTCATTCAACCGTGTTTCTTTTCACTCTGTAAACTCTGGGAGGCAAGTGTATGCCCATCCTTAATTTTCTACTGACTCTCCAGTCCCCAGCACCTAGGAGGAATGTAATAAATGTATTTTCAAGTTTTGCTAATACTTATGTAAGATGCACAGATAAAATTCTCTCATCCACTGTTCACCTTCCAACAACCTGAGCTCAGCCAGGCCAAAGCCAGGAGCTAGGAACTCAATGTGGGACTCTAGTACTGGATCCATTACTCGCTGCCTCCCAGGTGCTCATCAGCAGGAAGCCTCAATGGCACTCAAGCACAGGATCTCAGATGTAGAATATAGGATCTCAAAGTGTGGCTTGATTTCTGTGCCACCTACCCACTCCTTAATAAACATTTTCGAATAAAGTGCTGAATGTATGTAGCGTGTACTATGTAATCTACTTAACCATAAATTTAAGATACCTGTTCTGATGCTTTCAATTGCAGCATGGACATGCAGAATCCTGGTTCATCTATGGTGAGAGAATCATTTTACCCAGACTTGGTCATCAATGTTGGAAAGATGACCATTAGTCAAAATTGCAGCCAAATACCTAAAACGCAGAAGCAGGAAGAAAAAAACAACGTTGCCCAGGCTGCATGTGCTTTATTAAACTCAGGAGGAGGAGTGATTCGCGTGGAGATGGATGACAAGCATGGCCAGCCTGGGGAACTGAGACAGGATTTTCAAGAGTCTTGGAGAGACCTTATTCAGTCTCCAGATTTGCAGACTTTCTTTGAGACCAAGCAACAGGGGAAGTACTTTCACATTTTTGTAAAATCGTGGAGCCAGAAACCTTTCCCTGGAGACAGCTCCCCCAACCCCCGCCTCTGCAGCCTGGAAACTTATCTGTACTGTAGATCTGGCACCTCCGTGTCAACCATGAGCTCAACACAGGCCTTCAGGTTCCTGAAGTCCAAGAAACAACAAAGTGTGCAGCGTCATCCAGTTCATGAAGGGGGTCCACCTTGTAAAACACCCAAAGTTGAATGGCACAGCAGCCCTGCCTCTGATCCCGCTTCCCACATTTTCCAAAGCAGCAGTCTTGAATATGGTGAAATCTTGCCTTTTTCTGAGTCCCAGTTTGTAGAGTTCAAACAATTCAGCACAGATTGCATCAAAAAATATGTGAAAGACACCATTCCAAAGTACGTCTCTGCGTTTGCGAACAGTGAAGGGGGCTATCTTTTCATTGGAGTGCAAGATAAAACTAACAAAGTCATTGGATGTGAAAAAGAAAAGGTTGACTCTGACTCTCTAAAAAATGTTATATCCACAGCATTTACCAATTTGCCCATTGTCCATTTCTGCTCTTCCCAAGCAACAGTGAGCTATAGTTCCAAATTCATAAATGTGATTCGCAACGGAGAATTGTATGGTTACTTATGTGCAATCAAAGTGGAACCATTCTGCTGTGCAGTGTTCTCCACAGCACCCAGGTCGTGGCAGGTGAAAGAGACAAAGGTGTCCAGGCTGACTGCTGAGGAGTGGGTGCGCATGATGGTGGGCCCAGACCCAATAACAGGTAAGAGAGTGCAAACCCCTCCCTCTCTGTTCTTTCTGCCTGTGAATTTGAGTTCCCATCATCTGAAAATTTGCTTACTTTAAGTAGTTTTTATTATAATTATTTGAAAGGCAGATTTATGGAAAAGGAGAGAGAGAAAAAGAGAGAACGAGAGATCTTTCATCTACTGGTCCACTCCCCAAATGACTGCAATAGCTGGAGCTGAGCTAGTCCAAAGTTGGGAGCTAAGAGCTGCTTCTGGGTCTCCTATGTGGATGCAAGGTACCAAGGACCTGAGCCATCACCTGCTGCTTTCCTAGGCCATAGACAGGGAGCTGGATTGAAAATAGAGCAACCGGGATATGAGCAAATGCACATATGGGATGCCAGTGTTGAAAGGAAGAGGAAGATCTTTGAAAATAAAATAAAATAAAACAAATCTTTTTTAAAAAAATGGCTAAGGATTGGCCTGTTGAAGCACCATGTTGGGCCCTCAAGAAAGTTGCTTTCTTTGATCTCTATCATATATGAGAAAATTTTTTCTCTCTTTTTTTTTAAGATTTATTTATTATTCATTTTTATTACAAAGTCAGATAAACAAAGAGGAGGAGAGACAGAGAGGAAGATGTTCTGTCCAATGATTCACTCCCCAAGTGAGCGCAACAGCTGGTGCTGCGCCAATCCCAAGCCGGGAACCAGGAACTTCTTTCCAGGTCTCCCACATGGGTGCAGGGTCCCAAAGCTTTGGGCCGTCCTCGACTGCTTTCCCAGGCCACAAGCAGATAGCTGGATGGGAAGTGGAGCTTCCGGGATTAGAACTGGCGCCCATATGGGATTCTGGGGCGTTCAAGGCGAGGACTTTAGCCACTAGACAATGGCGCTGGGCCTGAAAAAATATTGCTGGTGAAAAAAAAAAAGCTAAGAACATATTTTGCGGGCCCTGCAGCGTGGCCTAGCGGCTTAAGTCTCGCCTTGAACGGCCTGGGATCCCATATGGGCGCCGGTTCTAATCCTGGCAGCTCCACTTCCTATCCAGCTCTCTACTTGGGGCCTGGGAAAGTAGTTGAGGACAGCCCAAAGCTTTGGGATCCTGCACTCATGTGGGAGACCTGGAGGAAGTTCCTGGCTCCTGGCTCCGGATCGTCACAGCACCGGCCATTGTGCTCACTTGGTGAGTGAATCATTGGACAGAAGATCTTCTCTGTCTCTCCTTCTCTCTGTATATCTGACTTTGTAATAAAAATAAATAAAAATTTAAAAAAAAAGAACATATTTTGCAAATAGTTATTTCCCACACAACAAATAAAAACAAAATTTAAAATATAGTCCTAGGGCCCGACGCAATGGCGCAGTGGTTAAGGTCCTCGCCTTGCACGCGCCCGGGAACCCATATAAGCACCAGTTCATGTCCCAGCTGCTGTACTTCCTATCCAGCTCCCTGCCTGTGGCCTGGGAAAGCAGTCGAGGACGGCCCAAAGCTTTGGGACCCTGCACCCATGTGGGAGACCCAGAAGAAGTTCCTGGCTTCGGATCGGCATAGCATCAGCCACTGCGCCTCACTTGGGGAGTGAATCATTGGACGGAAGATCTTCCTCTCTGTCTCTCCTCTCTGTATATCCGCCTTTCCAATAAAAATAAAATCTAAAAGAAATAATAATTTTTTTAAAATAAAATAAAATATAGTCCTAGTTTAACTATGTATTATTGATAATCCTTCCATAAAGATTTGCTTGAGCTTCAAAATAACCATTATTCTGTATCTTAATTTAGTATAAGATCAACCCTAGGAGACAAGAGCCAGTGTTGGGTGAGGCTTAAGGTGGGGTTATGAAGGTGCAGAGATACAAAACACATGGTGACTATAATCTTTAAAAAGAAAGATTTTATTTATTTATTTGGAAAGCCATATTTACAGAGAGAAGGAAAGATGGAAAGAAAGATCTTCTGTCCACTGGTTCACTCCCTGAGTGGCTGCAATGGCCGGAGCTGAGTCAATCTGAAGACAGGAACCAAGGGCGTCTTCAAGTCTCCCTCATGCGTACATGGTCCCAAGGATTTGAGCTATCCTCTATTGCTTTCCCAGGTCACAAGCAGGAGGATAGATGGGAAGTGGAGCAACCAGGATATGAACCAGTGCCTATATGAGATCCTGGTGGATGTGAGGCAAGGATTTAGCTACTAGGGTATCTAGTCAGGCCAGTGATTAGATGCTTAGTGGAGTATTTGTTTCACTTTAATACAAGGGAAAAGCTATTCAGATGTAATATTATTATTATTCATTGGAAAGGTAGATTTACAGGGAAAAGGAGAGACAGAAAGATCTTCCATCTGCTGGTTCACTCCTCAGATGGTCACAGCAGTCAGAGCTGAGCAGATGTGAAGCCTGTAGTTTCTTCACGGTCTCCCAAGCAGATGCAGGGTTTCAGGGCTTTTCCAGGTCATAAGCAGGGAGCTAAATGGGAAGTGGAACAGCCAGAACATGAACCAGTACCCATAAGGGGTCCCAGAACTTGGAGGTGGAGGATTAGCTGGTCCCAGAACTTGGAGGTGGAGGATTAGCTGGTTGAGCCAATGTGTTGGCTCCAAGAGAGAGCATTATGCTGGTTGGATAAACTTTGACTCAAGATGCAGAAGTAATGGGTAGGCATTGGGGTGCAGCAAGTTAAGCAGGCAGTTAACCACATTCCATCTCTGAGTGCTGGTTTGAGTCTTGCCTCCTCAGTTTCCAGTCTAAGCTCTTTGGGAGGTGACAGATGATGGCTTAAATACTACAGTCACCCAGGTGATGACTGACTTCAAGTTGGTCCAGGTCTGGCTGCAGCAGGGTTTTTGTTTTGTTTAAGATTTATTTTTTTTTTAATTGGAAAGGCAGATGTGGGCCCAGCACAGTGGGATCCCATATGAGCGCCGGTTCTAATCCCGATGATTCACTCCCAAAGTGGCTGCAACGGCCGGTGCTGCACCGATCCTAAGCCAGGAGCCAGGAACTTGTTTCCTGGTCTCTCCCCTGCGGGTGCAGAGTCCCAATTGGGCCATCCTCAACTGCTTTCCCAGGCCACAAGCAGGGAGCTGGATGGGAAGCGGAGCTGCCGGGATTAGAACTGCCGCCTATATGGGATCCTGGCACATTCAAGGAGAGGACCTTAACCACTCTGCTGTCGTGCCGAGCCCTGCAGCAGGGTTTTGGAAAGTGAATCACTGCATGGAAAATCTCTCTACCCCTTCCACTCTCTTTGTTCTGTTGTTCCTTCAAATAAAAGGGATTTTGTTTGTTTGTTTGTTTTCTGTTTTTGGTTAGTGGCGGAGGAGGGGGGTGTTTTTAATTCGAAAGAAGTGCTCTTTAATGGTAAAGCTTTGAAAATCCTGGCAAAGCAATGTGACTTCCTTATCTAAATTGCATTGTGTCAGATAAAATTTAGTCACTGATTTGTAAAGCCTAATCCAATGGTGAGGAATAATAAAATAATACAGATCTGTTGTTTTTTCCCCTAGAGCTGAGCGAAGCTTTTGAATCCCAGCTGAGTGTGTCCCATGGGCCTCCACTCTGCAGGCCAGTGTATTCTAAGAAAGGTCTGGAACACAAAGAAGATCTCCAACGAAATTTATTTCCAGGTACTGACTGCCGGTCTTTGCATTTGGAGAAAGGGGGATTATCAAATACATCTGACTGACACAAATCCACAAGATTTCAGTGCAGTAAATCCAAGTATGATAAAAATCCCACTGCTGCAAGGCTCTTGGGCGTGAGTTTCAGGTGGCCTTAGAAAAATCATTGGCTTAGCATTTGCCAAATCTGGCTCATTATCACAACCCAGTGGGGGGGTTAAACATGCAGCTGTGAAGGTCCCCAACAAGACCACGTAAACAGGATGAGGCCTCGGCACACGCACCTGAGCAGGCTTCCACCTGGTTCTGATGCCCTTCGAGTGGAAACCACCAATTGATTATAACTGCAAGCAAAATGTTAGGTGGGGTAGGGAGTGCCACACCCTCAGCCAGCCTTTTCACGAGTGAAGGAATTCCATCTGTAAAAGGAATACACAGATTTACCTGGTAGAACATGAAAACACAGTGAAAATCATGAGCAATTTCTCCTGGAAGAGGCTAAAAAGATAAGTCAGGAGTGTTCCTGGGATAGCAGAAAACAATAATTCAAGACTTCAGACGATGCTCGTCAACCCTGCTCCCCACTATCCAAATTTTTATTTTTTGCCAGGTTTTATAAAGAAGTTCCTACACTAGAGAAAAGGAAATATAGATTTCTAGTGGAGATCTAAAAAATTTATTTATTTTAATTGGAAAGTCACCATACAGAGAAGAGATGAGGTAAAGAAAAAGATCTTCTGTCTGAGGATTCACTCGCTAAGTGGCTGCAATGGCCAGAGCCAAGCAGACCCAACAGCTAGGAGCTTCTTCTGGGTCTCCCACATGGGTGCAGGGTCCCAAGGTTTTGGGCCATCCTTAACTGTTTTCTCAGGCTACAAACAGGGAGCTGGATAGGAAGTAGAGCAGATGGGACATGAACTGGTGCTTATATGGGTTCCTGGTGCATGCAAGGCAAGGATTTAGCTACTAGGGTTTTCGCACCAAGCCCAGGGATATGGTTTATTTGACTTCACACACTGAACACATTCATTATGAGCTCTAACTACAGACTACAATATGCAAGCCCCCTATATGTCTAAACTTTTATTAAGGACCAAGTAACTAATAAATTAGACCAAAGATTCATTTTCAGAGAGCTTCTTTACTTACCCAAAATCCTTGCAGTCATTAGCTCATAAGAAACCATTTTAGGTCCCGGCGCAATAGTGTAGTGGTTAAAATCATCGCCTCGCATGCGCTGGGATCCCATGTGGGCACCAGTTCTAATCCCAGCGGCCCTGCTTCCCATTCAGCTCCCTGCTTGTGGCCTGGGAAAGCAGTTGAGGATGGCCCAAGGCCTTGGGACCCTGCACCAGCATGGGAGACTCAGAGGAGCTCCTGGCTCCTGACTTCGGATTAGCTCAGCTCCAGCCGTTGTGGTCGCTTAGGAAGTGAACCATCAGATGGAAGATCTTCCTTTCTGTCTCTCCTCCTCTCTGTATATCTGACTTTGCAATAAAAATAAATAAAATCTTTAAAAAAAATATTTTTTAAACTCCATAATAACACTCTGAGAAACAAGCATAAATGAATATGTGATTCTCACTTTCTAAGGATAACATGTCTTATTTTGGTTGGCACATTCTAATTTCTTGAGGGGCGACATCACTCAATTTAACCAGACCTTCAGGCTCCAGGTGAAATGGAGTTTTTCCCAAAGCTTGTATACCATTATTGTGGGGTCTTACTTTCTCTGCTAAATGTTATATGTGATTCATACAAAGTAATACCAACATGCTTCTTCAATCCTTATTTTTTCATGTCTAGTGCCAGAAGGACGCTTGGAATATTCTCCCCGCTCCCTCTGGAATGACCTGTCCTCAGAGCATAAAGAACTGAAGGAGCTAATACGTGAGCAAATGCGCCCTTTCTCCCGAGGAATTCTGATCCTTTCTAGAAGCTGGGCGGTGGACCTGCACTTACCTGCCAACTCAAACGTCATCTGTGATGCTCTGCTGATAGCACAGAACAGCCCCCCAGTTCTGCATACCATTCTCAAAGAGCAGGATGCAAAAGGGCAGGAGTACTGCACCCACACCGCCTTGACTTTGAAGCAGCAGCTGGTGAACATGGGGGGCTACACCGGGAAGGTGTGCGTCATGACCAAGGTCCTTTGCCTGTGTCCTCAGAACCAGGGCGAGTTGCTGCAGGGGTCATGCCCTCCGATAGAACACCCGCTGTCCTACAGTCTTACAGACTCCCAGGACATGGAAGCCCTGCTGCAGGCCCTCGTGGTGGTCCTCCTCGGCTTCAGATCTTTCCTAAGCGATCAGCTAGGCTGTGAGATTCTACATCTGCTCACCACCCAACAGTATGAGATACTCTCGAAAAACCTGCGCAAGAGCAGAAAATTGTTTGTGCACGGCTTGCCTGGCACAGGGAAGACGGTCATGGCTGTGATGATCATGGAGAAGCTCAGGAATATGTTTCATTGCGAGACAGACAGAATTCTCTATGTTTGTGAGAACCAGCCTCTGAGGGATTTTATCGGGTAAGCAGCTAGATCTTAGGTCTGTGCATGCAATTTTATATGGGTTTATTTTTGTTCTGCTAAGTCACCTTGTTGCTTGGGAATAAGACAATAACATGATCTGTGACAAAATTATTTCATTCAGGGAAGCAGGAGGGAGTAAATTTTTTTTTTTATTTAAAGAAAACTTGTCATTTTAACTTCTTAAAATTTATTTGGGACACACACAGAGTAAGCAAGACAGACAGACACAGAGAGAAAGCTCACATTCTCTGATTATTTCTCCAAATGCCTGAGAAACTGAGAATTCCATCCAGGTCTCCATGGGGGTGGGAGGGATCCAGTTACTTAACTAGTAGTTAAACTTCCAGGCCAAACACCTGCTCTGTCATTTTACTTTTTACAGGGGGAAAAAGATCTGCAAGGCAGTGACACGGAAAACATTCATGAAAGAGGACTTTAAAAATATTCAACATATCATCATTGATGAAGCTCAGAACTTCCGCACTGAAGATGGACCCTGGTATGAGAAGGCAAAAGCCATCACTCAGACAAAAAATGGTCACCCTGGAATTCTATGGATCTTTCTGGACTATTTTCAGATCAGCCACTTGAGCACAACTGGGCTTCCCCCTTTCTATCGGCAATATCCAAAAGAAGAACTCACTCGAGTGGTGCGTAATGCGGATGAAATAGCCAAGTACCTCCAGAAACTAATGCAGCACATCGAAGGAAATCCTCCATGTAACTTCCCCACAGAGTACCTAGAGCTCCTTCCTGCAGTTGAATGGGTTCCAGGTGTTCAAGGAACTTTGATAATCAAGAAAAACTTGACTGTGGATGAAACAGTGACCTACGTGGCAGACACCTGCAACACTCTATTTGCAAAGGGCTACTCTCCCAAAGATGTTGCTATGCTTGTGAGCACCCACGATGAAGTGAATTGTTATGAGCAAAATATCTCAAGAAAAATGAGGAAGAAAATGTGGGTGACGATTAAGACTGCAGATGATACCTCAGGGAATAGCATTGTGCTGGACAGCGTGCGGAGGTTCTCGGGCCTGGAGAGGAACATCGTGTTTGGAATCCACCCAAAGACAGCTGATGACACCATCTTAAACAATTTTCTGGCCTGTCTGGCTTCCAGAGCCAGACAGCAGCTCTATATACTATGGCCTCATTAGTATTAGGAAGAATCACAATCAAAAACAGGAGATGATTCCTATGGTAATGTCAGAGAAATTCTGATTGATACCTGCAAGAGCTTTTTCTCTTTTTTTCTTAATTTTTGAATTTTTGAAATGATGTATTTTTTAAATTTTATTTTTGATTTTATGATGCAATCCTGTAGGCTGTGCGATCTCCCTAGCCTCTCCCCAAACTCCCTCCTCCAACTGATTTCCCCCATATTATTACAATAGCATAGCCCTTCGAAAGCAGTCATAAGTCCGTCATTCTGTTATTTCAGTGTGTCCTGACATTGCTGGTACAGATAATGGCAGAGAGTCCAGCATCCTATTGTCAAGAGTTCATCTTCGGTTTGCAAGTGGAGATGCATGCTGCATTGCATCGTCACATCTGGATGTGACAGTCTCTATTATGCTGTTACTGTACTTTCCCTTAAATGAGAAGCCATGAAACAAAGTCAACAACAGGAATAAAGTTAGAACAAAATTCTTACAGCACCATGGAGTTAAGTAACATGTTACTGCATAACCAATGTGTTAATGAAGAAATGAAAAAGGAAACACAAAAGCTTCCTGGGGAAGATGATACTACTGTGTGAAGTATGAGTCAGTGAAGAGTTTAATCAGAGAAAAGAAACTATTTTGAAGAAATGAAAATGAAACAAAAATATCAAAACCCAGGGTTTGCAGCAAAAACAATATTGAAAGCGTTATTGATCTTACAATTTGCATGAAGGTTGCCTTATATCAGAGAGAACATATGATATTTGTCCTTTTGGGATTGACTTATTTCAATAAAAATCAAGCTAGAGAAATCGCAATTCCTCAAGACATATTACAGAGCAGTGGTCATCAAAACAGTCTGGTACTGGTACAGACACGGAGAAAAAGATCAATGGAAAACCTGAAAACAATAAAACAACCTGAAAACAATCCAGGGAAAAAGTCTGGGCTCTTCAAGAAATGCTGATGGGACAATTGGATAACAGCCTGTAGAGGTAAGAAGTAAGACCCCTACCTGTCACCTTATACAAAAATCAGCTCTAACAGGGTTAAGGACCTAAACCCGCACCCAGAAATTATCACTAATAGAGGACAACATAGGAAGCACTCTCCAACATAGAGGAATGGGAAAAGACACCAAAATAAGCAAATGGAACTACGTCAAACTAAAAAGCTTCTGTACGGCAAAGGCAACAATTAACAAAGTGAAGAAGCAACCATTGAAATGGGAGAAAACTGTTGCACACAACGCAACTGATAGGGGACTAAAATCCAGGATTTACAAAGATCTTCAGAAATACAGAGACAGAAAAAAAAAAAACCCTGTGAAGAAATTATCTGATAGGGTTGGTGTCTTGGTAAAACAAGATGCCACACAGTTTGCTCCTTCTGTCCCTATGCATGCAAGTGAATGTCCTGTGGGCACAGAGCGGGGACGGTCACCTCCAAGCCAGGAGAAGAGGCTTCAGAAGCAAACTCACCCACGAGCACCTGCGTCTTAGAGCGTCACAGTCTCCAGAACTGTGAGAGTCACATGTCTGCTGTTTAAGCCACCCAATCTGGTATTTTTTCATTATTGCCCAGGATCACTAATACACCTGTATACGCTTTATTAAAAACTGCACTAATGCACTTCCTTGCTTTTAGCATACACAAAACACACTATAATACTACTAATCTAAATGCTAATAGTAATATATTTGTGTAAGTAACAAGAATCAGTGCTTTCACATGGATTATATTGTATGTTTTCGTAATCCTGTTTTGCTGATCCCCCTCCCTGCCTCCACCATATATCATAGACTTTGAGGTTCTCTAAATGTTTTTCTAGTAACTATGTTTATTCCTAGGACTCTAGCATCCAGCTAGATATTAGCTTTAAGTTCAACAACATATGATGTATCTGCAAAACTAGGAAGCAAATGTTCCCTTTTCCTTTCTGAGTATATTAAATCACATAAAACTTGGCACGGAAAAAGCTTTCCTTTATAAATGTTGGTACCTAATAAACACATCATATAAAATCTCCGGACTTTGGAGTTACTGTGATGTTTTTAAAGGTATTTTTCTTAAATATTTAGTTTTTTCAAAGATTTATTTATTTTTATTGCAAAGTCAGATATACAGAGAGGAGGAGAGACAGAGAGGAAGATCTTTCGTCCAATGATTCACTCCCCAAGTGAGCACAACGGCCAGTGCTGTGCCAATCCAAAGCCAGGAGCCAGAAACTTCTTTCCTGGTCTCCCACATGGGTGCAGGCTCCCAAAGCTTTGGGCCGTCCTCGACTGCTTTGCCAGGTCACAAGCAGAGAGCTGGAGCTGCCAGGATTAGAACTGGCGCCCATATGGGATCCTGGAACATCTAAGGTGAGTAGTTGAGCCGCTAGGCCACCCTGCTGGGTGCGAGATTTATGTATTTTAATTGGAAAGGCAAATATACAGAGAGAAAAGGAGCAACAGAAAGGTTTTTCGTGTACTGGCTCACTCCCCAAGTGGCCACAATGGTCAGAGTTGTGCTGATCCAAAGCCAGGAGCTAAGAGCCTCTTTAAGGTTTCCCATGCAGGTGCAAGGTCCTAAAGCCTCAGGCTGCCCTCAATTACCTTCTACAAAAAGACAGTGTCCAACATAAGTAAATCCAGGCAAAGGCCCCAAGTGTTATTAATATCAAGGACTAGGAGCTAGCCTAGCCGAATACCTTATTTGAAATACCTACCATTGATTGATTTGTTCACCTAAAGAGATTTGGCAGGGTTTTATGCTCATTCAGAAAAAGGAGCACCTGATGAAATTAAACATCCACATTTGTAATTAAATCACTATGGGTTTTTAATCTGAACCGAAGGTTGTTACTTCGTGGTTTTTCTTCCATAAGCTGATGTAGGTTAGGTAACCGTGGAACATACACAGCCAAAGGACCTTTAAATCCATCTCAGTGTATGTGCTGGTCTTGTCGAGGTTTAGGGAGATCTCTAAGTGCAGCTCTTCATTTAGCTCCGCCTCAAACTCTGCTTCCCCAGCTGCGTTAGCAGGATGCTGGTTGGAGCAGAGCTGCCTGGGCTGAGAGCTGGCTGACGGGGAGGATGGCCCTTGAAAGGATTCTGGCACGTCAGAGCTTTAGGGGAGCTGTCAGGTACAGACAGGACGCCAGGGCAAGCGCAAGGATAAGGGAAACGAGGAGTTAGCACAGGAGAGAGACCAACAGGGTAAGTGGGAAAAGAGAGCGAGAACGCAAGGCAGAACAAGGAGGATTTACTAAGAAATGAGTCTGGTTTCTTGTCACTTAAGTGTGTCAAATTGCTCCTTAGCTCTGGGCAGAGAATCTCTTAATGAAGCAGTTTTTACTCAGAATTTCACTTGGAGGGCTCTGTACACCAATCAAAAACTACTGCCCAATTACTCTTGTGAAATCTTGTTCCATTTATTTCTGAAGTGCTTCTCAAATGAACAATTTTGTTCAACTCAAATATTCCCTGGAGTGGCTATTAAAGACCCACATCATGCTTGAAACGATGCCACTTAGGAAGACGAGGGCACAAATTAGTTCTGTGCATTTAATGAAGCAGATTTTCCTGGATTAGAAGAGGATCTACATTTAGAATTCCCTCTGAGAGCTCACAACCATCAGTTCGGAGAGCATCAGACTCCCTGGCCTCTGAGTTCAGCTTGAACAGGCTGACTCTCCAACTCATGATACGCATTAAGCAACTGCATGATACAACCAACACAAAAAGAGAATTGAAAGGTCTGAGAGGGCCTGACATTCTAGCCTAGTGGTTAAAGCCCTCGCCTTGTACATGCCAGGATCCCATACAGGCAACAGTTCTAATCCCAGCAGCCCCGCCTCCCATCCAGCTCCCTGCTGGTCGCCTGGGAAAGCAATGGAGGACGGCCCAAAGCCTTGGGTTCCTGCACCCGTGTGGGAGACCTGGAAGAGGTTCCTGGCTCCAGGCTTTGGATCGGCTCAGCTCTGGCCATCACAGCCACTTGGGGAGTGAAGCAGTGGATACAAGATCTTTCTGTCTCCTTCTCTCTGTAAACTTGAATTTCTAATAAAAATAAATATTATCTTAAAAATATAATTTGAAACTCAAATTAATAACTAATAAAAATGAGCCACATGTCCTCCTCAGCCCACTGAAGAAAAAGTCTACCTTTCCTATGCAATGCAGTCTCTGTGGGGTTGTATCTATTAAAAATGCAGCCACAGCTGGGGTGGAATGGGGTGTGGGACAGACTGGATTACTGCTACACTTACTGGCAAACAAGGGTAGGGGCGGGCCTGGTGGGGGTTATGGTGGGTCGCTCCAACTAGGCTGCAGCTCCCACTGGTTTAGGTGAGGGCCAAATATGTGCGGGGCAGAACCAGGCTGGACCGCAACACCCATTGGTTCCAGTGGAAGTCGGGAGTGAAAACAGAACCAACCCAGCAATTACAACCACCAGCTGATTGGAGCGATGGACGGTGCCTGGCCCTGTACTTGTTAGCACATACAAGAAGTTTCTTTGGAGATCTTCCCAATCTAAATGCTGGACTCAGAACCCTAACGAAGAAAAGAGAGAAGACAGAACGGGTCAACCAACCATCTCAGCTATGATGGACTATGTCAATCAGTGGATTTTTCAAAGACCTCATAGTGCTTGGAGTGGCAAGATTGACAGCGATTCATAACTGTGGCAATATCAAAACCACTCGAGCAAGAACCTCAGAGCATGCCCTACACCCGGGACTTGGGGAGGGTGGGAAATTGGGTTGGCCTTCTCCCTTAATACCCCCCTTTTAAACATGAAGGTAACAATATGGAAAACATACTAGTATTATCCACTTTCCTGTAGCCCTTGAGCCTTTTTACTCTAACTAAGTATGTAAAGAATATCAAAATAAATTTTATTAATAAAAAAAAAAATGCAGCCACAGGGCTGGCATGGTGGCTCAACAGGCTGATCTTCCTCCCCGTGGCACCAGCATCCCATATGGGCGCCCATTCATGTCCTGACTGTTCTGCTTCTTATCCCTCTCTGCCGATGTGCTCGTAAAAGCAGTAGAGGACGATCCAAGTCCTTGGGACCCTGCACCCACGTGGGCAGCCCAGAAGAAGCTCCTGGATTGACTCAGCTCTGGTCATTGCAGCCATTTGGGGAGTGAACCATGGAATGGAATATCTATGTCTCCTTCTCTGTAAATGTGCCTTTCCAATAAACATTAATAATTTTTTTTAAATGAAAGAGCAAGCTAATTCCCACACAGTCCTGTGTTTCCTT